CCGGGCGGCAAAGAGAAAGGTGGTCTCCAAGAAGAAAAGGTGGTCTCCCACCCTTCGACCACCTTCCTAACAATGAAAATAGGGTCCATGCCAAAAATGAACCCACACCGATGCAAAACGAGGGTTCGGGGGTCAAAACGCGTAGCCGGGTACCCCGAAAACTGACTATCAAGCACCAGAAATGGCGTGCGACCACGAAGGTGGTCTCCCGAGCCACAGTGTCCCTCTAGGGAGAGGAAACAAGGTGTGTGCCAAAAACCGGAGCAAACGGAGAAAGTTAAGCGGTCCCGAACCGAGGCACACGACCGACGGCTCCGAAAATCGGAAACTGGTCTCCAAACGGGAACAATGGCTTACGACCACGAAACGTAGCCTACGGCCATTGAGAGATGGTCTACGAGACATCTCCCTCCCTTCAAGAAGAGAAAATAGAACCTGGTTCGCAAACCGAAGCGAAGCACAAAAGAGTCCTGAAGTCCGGAGGCAAGGCTCTCAGTCGAGACTCTGTAACCTCAGAACGAGCACAATATGCACCATCACCGAGCGTTCAGTCGATGATGTCTGAGTCTTAAGGTCGGTCAAAAATGGGGTGTCTACAGTTGCCCCTCTTTGACAGAACTCGGAAGTCATAAGTGACGGGAGTGAATGTCAAAGCCCAGAGACGACCCATTTTTGACAAGGCCGAAGACTTAGACAAACAGGCGAGATAAACAAAGATGTGCCCACAGGCAGGGGGCAAAATGCAAAATGATATGCAAGAAGATTTTGACAATTGGACTTATACGCTACGCGAAGCCGATTTGAAAATTGGACTTATACGCTACGCAAAGCCGGTTTGATAATTGGACTTATACGCTTTCGCAAAGCCGGTTTGAAAATTGGACTTGTACGCTACGCGAAGCCGGTTTGAAAATTCAGAATTTATGCAATGCAATGTAATGAAACAATGCAAATGATATGCAATGCATTTGAGATGATCAAACCACAAGCAGTATAAAACCCACACAAATATCATAAAGATGATGGAGATGCAAAATCTGTCTACCATAGAAAAGGTGCCAACACCCTCAAACCACAATCCCATCAGTGGAATAGGCTCGTACACATGCAGAACTATGTGTGTGTAGACGAAACACAAGATACAAGTAATTGGGTGGCATGATATAAGTAAGAAATGATCTGCTGAGGAAAGAACATGATCCGAAATGCTGGATGCAACACACTACACTATAATGCAATGAATGCAATGGATAAGGCGCACGGCCAAACCGTATCTTGCCTAGGAAAGGCATGGACACAAACAAACCACATCTAACACGGAAATGCTGCCGTCACCCTCAAACCAAAATCCCATTAGTGGAATAGGTGCGTACACAAAATCTCATAACCATGCTTCGACATGAAAAGTATGGGCACATATCAGACCAAACTCAACATGGAAAGGCGCAAACCATAGACGGGTAATGCAGTAAATGCATGCAAACTATAATGCAATGTATTCTATATGCAATGCAATGGACATACTAGACGATGTAGTAGTTAGGAAGCGAAGGTACCTTACAGGGGCATTTGGCAATGACTTACCTCAGCAATGTCCTACCTCATGCTGATGTGGGAATCTTCCCCTTCTTCTCAGTTAAACCGCAGGTACTACTTTTCTCTCTGACTATGGTCACAACTTTCCCTATTCTCCAACAGGGTGACAGACTAGGTTGATTTGGTATCCAGAATTGAGGCGCATACACATGCTATCTCAATCTATGGGGCTGCCATACCAATTTCAAGCCGAGGATAGACCCCTAGGTATTTAAACCAGACTTTAGTCTCAGAAATCCCGAACCTTTGCGTTCTAGGTATGATCCATTCGAACTCTAGTTTCCACTATCTCAGTTGGTCTCCTAGGAACTCACCGCAAGCACAGACAGGTGGCTATACCAGACCACCGGAAGTCGTTCGGGCACGACAAACACCAAAGGAATTGCACCTTTAGAGGATTTAAGGTCTCCTAGACCAGAGGGTGCAGAAAACAGTGCGAATAAAGATGCAGGATTTAAGGTCTCCTAGACCAGAGGATTTAAGGTCTCCCGGACCAAAGAGTGCACAAGACAGTGCGAGCTAAAGGTGTACAAAACAATGCGAGTAGGGTGAATGCACAAAATAGTGCGATACAGCTAAGGTGCGCAAGATAGTGCGATGCAATGCATGCAAAATGCAATGGTGAATGCAAAGGGGAAAATACTCCAACCATGCTGGAATCATGACAAGAGGAAAAACAATCAATTAGGCGCGCATACGACGCAACCTAAGTCAAATTCCAAACACACTGAAATCGTGTGAGGAAAGAGACACTCAAACCATGCTGAAAACGTGAAAGGAAGTCCAACAATCCGCCCAACGCATCTACAATGCAACCTGGGATAAATTCCAAACACGCTGAAATCGCGTAAGGAACAGGACACTCAAACCACGCTGAAATCGTGAAAGGAGGTCCAACAATCAGCCCAGCGCGTCTACAACGCAACCTAGGATAAATTCCAAATACGTTGAAATCGCGTAAGGAACGGGACACTCAAACCACGCTGAAATCGTGAGCGGAGGTCCAACAATCTGCCCAGCGTGTCTACAACGCAACCTGGGATAAATTCCAAACACGCTAAAATCGCGTAAGGAACGGGACACTCAAACCACATTGAAATCGTGAGAGAAGGTCCAACAACAACCAGCCCAGGTGTGTACCAAACACAACCTGAGATAAAACACGCCCAGGCCCGCGCACACGCGTCCTGAGATAAATTTCAAACACTCTGAAATCGCGTAAGGAACGAGACACTCAAACCATGCTAAAATCGTGAGAGGAGGTCCAACAATCTGCCCAGCGCATCTACAATGCAACCTGGGATAAATTCCAGACACGCTGAAAATGCGTAAGGAACCGGACACTCAAACCACGCTGAAATCGTAATAGGAGGTCCAACAACCCGCCCAGCGCGTCTACAACGCAACCTGGGATAAATTCCAAACACGCTGAAATCGCGTAAGGAACGGGACACTCAAACCACGCTGAAATTGTGAGAGGAGGTCCAACAAACTATCAGGCGCGTGCTCGGCGCCACCTGAGAAAGTCCCAGAGGACAACGATTCTAAACGCAGCTCGGCGTAAAAAAATAAATGATACAAGATAACACAAGATACAAATAAACGCAATAAGTGCGATGATACAGTACATGTTACAAGTAATGTGGAGCATGATGCTAAGGGAATGCAATAAATAGACAAAGCGGCACTCTAGAAAGCACCTCATGGAGTGAGTGGCAATAAACCGCTTTACTCTAACGGGGAATGGTACTCAGGGAGAGCACTTCTGATCGCCATTCTAGCTTGCAACAATGAAACAGTCAACACAGTATTCTGTTCACTTTGAACACACAGCTCGTATCAACACACTGCTCATTCTGAACACGCAGCTCATAACACAGTATTCTGTTTATTCTGAACACACGGCTTAAACAAGACACTACTCATTCTGAATACACGGGGTGTAATGACGGAACTTGGAAAAGCTAAAACAAACTCAGATGCCTGACATTTTCCCTCTTTTCTTTTGCTTTGCAGCCCAGAACTTTCATAGCTTCAGATAGGTCCTGGTTTTACTGTTCCCACATGACCCGGGTTGAACCCTGCGATTTTTGAAAGAACAAAATCTTGTTTTGCACAAATGTGGAGAACGGCACGACACTCTGAGCACAAAATGATTCATTTTTGAAATTGAAATGAGAAAAGGGTTCTCAACCGGGTATTGAGCCTACAACTGACCACAGCCACAATGACTCAACAACGGAAAACAAAGGTGGAACAACCTAAACACCACTCAACAAAAGAAAAACAACCTCAACACATCTATTGACACTCAAACGACTCAAAACAAGAATCGAGACAAACAAAAACATTAACTGAGACAAGTTTTAACCATCCATCCATTGAAAACCAATAAGTAATTGAACAAAAATTAAAAGGAAAATCAATGAAGGAATCCAAAAAAAATCCTAAAACAGGAAAGAATATATATGGTTTTGAAACATCAGCCTTGTGCTTGATCGTTCTTTTCACCAAGCATGTTCTTTTCACCAAGCATCAGCCTTGTGCTTGATCGTCCTAAAGAACCACCAAGCATGTTCTTTTCATTCTCAAATTCATCCTTGAATGCATTCCATAAAGTCATCCACTGAATAACCTCCATTGTAACAAGCTGTTTCAAGAGCAACCTATGACAGAACAGAAGGGCAAGCATCCAATACTGTTAACAGAACAAAACTATGCTCTCTATTTTTATTTTATTTTTGGTCATTTACCATTGGTTTCACAACAGTAATCACATCATTGCATAGAGTCTGCAACCAATAGAATAGCACTTAAATTCAAGCAAAGAGACGGGTATAAAAAAATCTTTGGAGATTAAAATTAAAAAAAAAAAAAAAACTGATGATGTGCATGAGTAATGGAACACATCCTTTTCAGTAGTTCTAGTATATCCCAAAAAACACATACCTCTATTGATAGGTCTAGTTCATTTTCTGTGGATGATTTCCCATGTCCTCTTAGGTCCATGGCTACTACCCTTGACTTTTCCTTAAGTTTACTAGCTACCAATGCAAATGAAAGCTTGTCCAAATGAATTTTGTCATGTACCAAGGTAAACAAGTCACAGAGCGCTTGAAATAATAATACATATTTATGCAATCTTTATTCTTTTTCTATTTTTGGTTCTTTTTCAATCTAGAACTGCAGCCATATAAAAGTAAGACATACACAACAACAAAACAATGTGAATTAAATTTAGTTAATGTAACTTTCTTTTTCTTTAATTAGTAAGGGATTTGGGTGGGGGTGTTTGAAGACAGTGTCATTTTCTTAGGAAAAAAAATTATATTTACAGATAATCAAAAGGCACATAGTGGAACATTGTAGTGGAGAATCTGTACAAGATCATTGACTAACAGAAATGAAGTTGCAGGTTAAATTTTCTGTAATTCTGATAAATAAATAAAAGACATTAAACTCCTTTCCCTTTAAAAATTATATTATGAAATTACTATTCAAAGTGAGTCCTCTTCACTACTTATTTCTCTTGTTTTAAACTGCTATATGTTACAGTTTTGTCTTTTTCTGAATACAACTAAGAAAGCCAGAAAGATAAGATATTGCACCACAATATAGACTATTTTGATTCTCCTTGTATATTAGTTTGTTGATAACCTCACTAAAGTTTACATAATAGTATGCATTAGTCTGGATCTCAGGATTGTCGTAATTCATGCATTAGAAATACTATGAAAGAATATAAGACAATTCTATTAATTTTTAACATGAGAGCAATCCTGATGAAATTTAATTGTGGATATAGTATTCCCCACACCCTAAAATTTCACCATCAAATCTGAAATAAATCAATAGAGAATGCCAACTTCCCTAAATGCATGGAACTGGGCAATATTATGGCTGGCAAGGATCTGCAAACAATATCCCCTAACAATGTTCATGAGCCAGTCCTCACACAAAATTAGCCCCATGATATGACTGATAAACAATTGGACATGCATGTTGCAAATCAACACTTCTCTATATGTATATAGTAGCAAAAACCATATAGTTCAAAAGGACGAAAAAATAAAGGCTTCACATTGCCTCACATTATACGGACATTTCTATATAAGAAGATTATCCATCTAAGACAGAAAATGACACGACATGAGCAAGGGAACCATGTAGGATATGTGACTTACTCACCCACTAGCATAACATTCCTAGTGCTATCATCCAGTGCATGAAGAAACGCCGCTATGCCTAATTTATTTGTAGTCCCATATCCTTCTGATAGAACGTAGATATTCCAAAATAAGTGCACATAACCATATCTTAGTAATTTGCATAGAAGCAGTATCTTATCTCAAGTCATGGATGATAAGAGATTGGTCTTGGTGATAATCAGTTATTTCCTCATATCCTTAGATGGAAGAAGTATACATGGCTAATAACTAGAGAATGCATTGAACATGTGTACCCACCAATATAAATAAATATATAGATTGAGTACCTTGTTCCCAATAGTCGTATGGAATCAGATGCCAAAGTCATATTTGAAATGTATTCTTCATGAACATCAAAAGAGTTGCAGCAAGTACGCTGTCTGGTATCCCAAACCTGCATTAAGGTGAAAATGAAGAAATAAAGGTGTAAGCAAACAAATTAAGATTAAGTTTCTCCAGCACTCCACAGGGTCGTTACCATAAACAGGTAAACTAAAATCATGGAACACCTCAAGGGAGAAAAATAGCATTATTTTTGTTCTTACAAATTACAATGTTATATAGAATCATAATGTTCACAAGTTTGACTTTATGCTGAAGTTGGCATACAAAATTACAAAATAATGAGAAGTATAAAAAAAATAGAAACCTAAGGTCATTATTGCCTAGGACATCACTAGATATCCAAATGACTAAACCATCAAAATGTTGACAACCATGAGATGCATTTTGAAGTTAAAATATGCCTTTGCTCATTTAAAAATTCCCTCACGGGAGAAATTTGATTTTCACCTGGGAGAATTGGAAGTCATAAACTTGTTTACAAAAAATGTTTAAGTTAAGAAAGGATACCTTAATACACCCTTCATCATCTCCAGATGCAATGGTTGACTCTGTCAAGCTGATTATTCGATTGACAGCAGCCCTGCATTCGAACAACATAGCTAGTGAAATTTCCTAAAACTAACACAGAACTAGCATAAATTAACAATTAAATTCCCACCCATGAGAGCTTTCTTATACCATGAAAGAATATAAGACAATTCTATTAACATGAGAGCAATCCTAATGAAATTGTTGAATTTGATTAGTATTTTGATTAAAATTATGAGAAGTAAAATGAATCAATAAATATTGAAATGAAAACCTTGGGAGGGCATCTGGTCTGGCTTTGGAGGCAGATTGAAGGTAGAGATTAACATAGTCAAGAAAAGACTTTACTGGAATACGTTGCCCATTAAGGTCAACCTTCACAATCTTTCCAAGGCATCTCGCCAAGTCAATCACCCCCTTTTTCATCAGGGCAACAACATCATCTTCAAGACGAGTCATATTGAATTTTGCTAAGTCAGGCTTAAATGTAAAACTAGACCCAAAGACCAGCTCAACTGTTAATTCTTCAAAAACTAGATCAATTCAAAGATAAAGCAACCAAATAATAACATTACAAAACTCTCAGTTGACTTAAGTTTAATATATATACAGTAAAATTACTATTTTATAGATGAAAACAAATTGCTAATTCCCACGCACCATTAAAATGCCTAATAAATTTTTTAAAAAAATTTACTTTCATTGGGGTAACATTATATGTAGATACACCAGTTATAGGGGTTGAACTTTGATTTTCAGCCGTGTAAAATGCGAGGGCACTTTCTCCTGGTTTTACCCTTACCTATAGATACAATCCAATAACATAACAATTCCAAACACCAGAAAGGATATAAGTCCCCTGATACACATATATACACGCATACAAAATAAATATGTTATGTTTATATATAGGGTAAATTACAATGATCTTCCGGAGGTTTAGAGAAAATAAAGCAAGCCTCACAGTTTTGATATAATTACATTAGGCTCCCTTAATATTTTAATTTGCATAACACTTAGCCCCCTTTTCATCAATTATTTGTTGGTGTGATTGATCGAAAAAAGATATTGTCATCTCTTTCAGTTTTGATATAATTACATTAGGCTCCCTTATTAGTTGCTTCACTCTAATTTCTTGATTTAAATGAAATGTCAGGAAGAATGAAACTATGCTATGTTACAAATGGAAGCAAATATGGGGGTTCATCTAATCAATGTATCAGTTCTTTTGTACTATAGAACTTGATCAGTGTTGTTGTAAAACTTCATTGATATCGTTTAATAACAAAAGATAAATTGTAGCTTTTTTCTCCCGGTCTAGTCTCTGTCAAACTTATCCTCTCTTGCAACTTTTAATTAATAGCATAAATATATACGTATATATATATATATATATAAACAAATCAATCTCTGCACACAAAAAAAAAAATTGCAAAAATGCAAAACATATAATTCCACCTTATAAGCTTTACTTCTTATCACAAATGGAAAAAGGTTGACCATTGTACTAATTGATAATATTGACAACGAAGAGTTGCTACCTGGTGGTACGTGTTCCGTCTTGAGCATGGCGAGCAATCTTTTCTTCAACACTCTAAAACATACTAAGGACTTCAAATACCATCTATGAGGGATTAAAAAAAAAGTTCTGGACAGAAAATCATAAGATTGAGTCTCACCTCACGGCACTGAACAGTACCCCCATATCCAGTAGCTTGGCAGAATCTCCTGACATCATTTTTGAAATAAAAAAGAAAACTTGTTTTTGGTTAGTGAGAGTGTATTTTGAAATAAAATAAACAAATAAATAAAATCAAGATAGGAGAAGATGAAAGCAGAGAGCTTTCCATTTTTGTAAAAAAACACTAATAGATGCAATCACTATCCCTTTGCTCTGTTTCTCGGCAACCAAACAAATGTTAAATAAGCAAGATCGACATAAAACACCAATTAAAGTTTCAGGACTAGAGCTTTGACGGGCAGCTTCCAAGCTGAACGATGAAACCCAAATTTCCCAAGAGCTTCAACGGGCAGCTTTCAAGAACAAATCACAAAATCCGAAAATTTCAGAATCAATTTAGAACAAATCAAACCCAAATTTCAGTCAAGAAAAAGTCAACCAAAATTTCACAAATGTAAATAAATTTCTGAAACGAATTTAGAAAATAAAGACCTGGATTCCAGTATGATTGATGAACTTCTTCTTTGGGATTGATTTGCAGATGAGCTTCTTCTTTGGGATCGATTTGCAACCGTAGTTAATCCCAGTAGACTTCTCTGCTACAATACAAAACATATATATATATATACATAAACCCTAAAACCATCGTAAAACCCCAAATCAATGACACTAAACAACACAATCATACAAAATCAACTCACATGTCGTCGATGTAGATGTGGCCTAGAAGATGAATCGAGTAGGGCCATTCGTCCTGGAATGTAATCCCCTGCGTTGAAACCTAGAGCGAGAGAGAGAGAGTAAATTAGGGTTTGATAAAAAGAGAGATCCATAATAGAATAGAAGGGTGGGTGGTGTATGTGCCTTCTCGGATGAGGTCATCGCAAATATCAGCGATCTTGTCGTAGGATTTGAAAGCCATTGCGTCGCTGTGGATCGCTCACGATGGTTAGATCTCGGCCTAGGATTCAAGTCTGATTTAGATTTCGATGATCTTCTCGGATCCGGCAGAGACACCAGTGGAGGAGGAGGAGAAGGAGAAGGATCATTGATGGCGGTGGGTGTTTAGGAGAGAGAGAGAGAGAGAGAGAGAGAGAGAGAGAGGCACCAGCGGAGGACGGAGGAGGATCATCGACGGCAGTGGGGATCTACGGCGGTGGCCGTGGCGATCTGTGCCGGTGGTGGTGGTCTGCGGTGAGGTGAGGCTTGGTGGTGAAGGAGAATCTGTGTAAGAGGTTTGAACAAATGGTTGTAAACAAAGAACACGAGCGGTGATATATATCCCACTAAAAAAAAAATTCACCTTTAGCGACTAAATTTGTTTTTGTCGCAGAATCTTAACATATAACGACTAAAATTTGGTCGGCCATTGTCTACCAGTGCATTTAGATATCAAAACAATGTCGTTTTGATATCTGCGACTAAATTGTGTTAGTTGCCAAAAGATTTCACTGTTCCCGCCCAATTTTTCACCTCCTGACATCATTTTTAGCGACAAATATTTTAAATTGGTCGCAAAAAATCACCTTTTTGAAACAAAATTACTTTAGTCGGTAATAGTATCAACTTTTAGCTACGAAATGTTTTTTGGTCGGAAAATATCATTTTTTTGCGACAAAAATTTTTTTGATCGGCAAATATGTAAATTCTTATAGTGTATGTTTAATTAGTGTGGAACCGGTGTGCTTGGTGATGATGTTGTGACTATGACTCAACCTCTGCAAGCTGTGACTTGGATGCTTGACCTTGTTCTGATAAATCTGATAGCTTATCAAATCCACTAGATAATGTATGTTTAATTAGTGTTCATTGTTACTGGGTCTGAAGTTTCATGATTAATATGCAAGCTTTATTAACAAAAGACAATGATTCACAAATAAAAAAAAATATATACAAAATTTTATATTAGAATAATATGGTAATGACAATCTTAAAAGTACTTTGAAAATAGTAAAAAAGTTATTTTTTCTTATTTATTTAAATTCAAAACGTTTCAAAAAATTGGTGGAAAATGCTGTGTTTTTCAAAAAAAAAAATTATATCTTTTACTACTGTATGGGTGCTTGTTAGCTAAAATTTTATTCAAATAATAAAGTAAAAATAAGAATATAGAAGTGACATAATTGTTCATTATTTTTTAATATTTTTGTATGTGAAAATAAGAATATAGAAGTTATTAGTAAGATTCAAATACTAACCTAGACTATGAAATTGACAAGCTTTAACCAACTTACTTAGATTAATTTTTGTCTACTATTATAAAATACTTGCCATTTTTTTGTTATATAAAATTCCTAGAATCGTAAAGCCCTCTTTTCTTCTTCTTTTCTCTTTCATCATTTCATCTCTTTCTTCTCTTTCTATCCACTCTCTATTTATATTTTTTTTTATCTGAAAATAGATACACCAGCACATAATTGTTAGAATCTTGGAGGAATTGCTCAACACTCAAATACTGGAACTGTAGGGGATTGTTCATTTGTTTGTTCTTTTGGAGTTGACCCTTCTTGACTTGGTATATTAATTGCTTTTCTTTCTCTACCTTGATATGAGCTTTAATTTTTGTTGGGATTTAGTTTAGTTTACTCTCTCTGTTGATGTGTTGCTATAATAATTTTCGGATAAAATCTTTTCAAGGCTATGATTTACTAATACGTGTTTATATATACTGTTCAATCATGCTCCATAGGCTACAGGAAAACCAGTCTTCATATAAAGAGTGAGTGTAATATTGATAAATCCAAATTCAGTAACTTGCTCTCTTTTGTTATCTCATAATTGGAGAGTAAAGCAATTATGCAGTTCTTTTTTCTTTTATTTATTTATTTTTAATTTCAAATTAGTTGGATTATGAATCAATGGCGTCGAGTTAAGTTGAGTTCTTATTTGCCACAAGCTAAATTCAGAAAATTACACTCTGTTGGGATAGAGTGATTTGGTGAGAAATAATGGGGGGAGGGGGGAACTCTTTTTTTTATGTTTGGTTTATAAGTTAGATGGCAAAACATGAGAAATGGCGAGAAAGAGAACTCTCTTATTTTATAGTGAGAAAGAGTACTTAGAAGTTTCATTTCTCACTAAAAGTGGTGCAATTTGGTGAGAAACAAGTTGATTGGTTATAAGCTGATTAGGCTCTCAAAGTGATGTTTTGGAGATTTTAACCATGTATTGAATGAAAGAGTTTGCATGGGTTTTGGGTGTTAGAGTTTAGTCTTCATTGGGAGTTTTGTTATTGTTCGTTGGTTTCTTGCCAACCAAATGTGTTTGTCGCATCAAATTGGATTTAAGCGATTTGGCTTCCCCAAATTGATGCCTATTCATGCTTTCCTTTCCTTCTTGTAATGTTTTATTTATTTAACAAAATATTACTTCTTTTGCCAATAAAAAGTAATAATAAAAATACATAGAGAGAGAGAGAGAGAGAGAGTGCAAAATATCACCCATATACCTATATCACATACTTTGTTTTCTTCTCCATCCAAACACGCTCATCAAACACAATCATTTCATTTCTTTTCTTTTCTGCCATCCAAACGGATGAGCTTTTAAAGTGAAGGCCAAATTTAGCTCGTTTATCACACAAGCAAGTTAAAGCAAAAGATACTGACCAGATGAATTTCTATCTCTTGGCCTTTATTCAACCTTTGGGATAAATGTCATGACCCGAACCCGCCCCCATGGGTTAAGGACATAACCGACCAGTAATCAAGAGATTACCTACGGCCTTGAACTAAACCAAACGTATTTTAACAGAGTTAATGGGGGCCAAACGGAAGCAATTTAAAACTTTGTCCATAGAGCTATGCTTACATGGCACATCATAACAAACCATACATGTGCATATTAATAACTCACAACAAAATATGTACTACATAAGGTTCTGTACATACAGGATCATATAAGTCTAAGTCAACCCATAATGACTATATACAACAGATGCAAAGTCTTTGCCAACATGAGAGAATATAAATACATAACAAAAGGGTGAAGACGGGCTAGTGCGTGAGACACAAGGGCTAACTCTCCCAAAACCTTTGTTGTTCCTCACAGACTTCACTGGGGCCGGGTTTGGACTTCACTTCGCTCACCTACAAGCATATGAATGAGCGTGAGCGAAGGCCCAGTGAATAATATCAATTAAAGAAGCTATACAGACGATATATAGAACAACATGCTTCAAACAGCCTTAGGCCCAATTCCTATTTCTATTTAACATATATACCCAATTTAGGTCAAGTGACTGCAGTTCCAAACAAACTGGCCTTTGGCCCATTCAAACTTTCATTTGTGTCAAAACGGCCTTTGGCCCATTCAGATAACAAAATGGCCTTTGGCCCATTCATTCGTTCATGTCGAAACGGCCTCTAGCCTATTTATTCATGTCAAAACGGCCTCCGGCCCATTCATTCATGTCAAAACGGCCTCTAGCCCATTTATTCATGTCAAAACGGCCTCTGGCCCATCCATTCAGGCCAAAACAGCCTCTGGCTCATTCATTCATGTCGAAACGGCCTCTGGCCCATCCATTCATGTCAAAACGGCCTCTGGCCCATTTATTCTATTATTCAGATCAGACTGGCCTCTGGCCCACTCATTTGGTATAGCAAACATTGTCCACCAATCGAATCAATGAACTTATGAAACTTACATAGAAGTAAGCAATTGGACAACAACATATTTTAGATATCTCTGCTAAGATATTACTCACAGTGATCGGTTGGTTGGTTTGCCCTAGAGCTCGACCCTACACATTCCATGAACACAAAAGAGTCACAAGCAATTCGATCCGTTCTAAATTCACATTTTCCTCTTTAGGCTTCATTCTTATCTCTTTAACTCAATTACAATGCTCAATGCATGCCTAAGAGTACTCGGAAATGAAAGAGAACAGAAAATGAAACACAGAATGTCTTTTCAAAATTTCAGAAAATAGGGTCCCCCCTCGAGCGTGGACTTCCCCGCTTGAGTGGACCCTTGAGGCCTGCAAAAGTACTGGATATGTCAAATTTACGCTCGATCGCGAACTCTGGCACTCGAGCGGAAGGCCTCTCTCCATGGCTCCCCGCTCGAGCGTGAACTTCCCCGCTCGAGCGGACACCATATCTACAGAAAATACTGGAAACACGAATTTCACGCTCGAGCGGCGGTTTCCCCGCTCGAGCGGACATCAAAATTCTGAAAAATCCAGAACATGTTCTTGAGCTTCAATTTGATATTCAAAGGTTCCAAATGCATGATTTTGGCTCAAACTTCACATATACATATTCTAACATGGTGTAAACACCAAATTACAACACAATGAAGCTCAATTTCACAATTTAATCACATGCATGTCTCAAATTAACTCAAACTCATCACCAACACACTAGATTCAAACATGCAAGACTCAAACTCCCATGATTTGCACTTGCATGTGAAATATACACAATATCCTCAACTTAATTGGTGAAGAGATGATCAAATACATGGTCGTTAATCAAAACTCAACATGGATTACATACTTTATGCTCAAATATGGAAATTTATAGTAATTTCCTACATGCATGCATCTATTGACTTTAAATTCAACAAATACAACTCAATTTCCTTATAATCAAACTAATTCATGTTCTTGACCATGAATCAAACTTGAATCCATAATTTACAACATTAAGCTCATGAATTCCCTTACGTAGGAGCTCAATCTTCCAAACTATAGCAATTTCTTGAGTTTAATCTTCAAATTCCCTAACCTTGAGCCAAGATTACACAATTCTCTCCCTCTCTCTCTCTATAGCCGACCCTCTCTGTTATTTGAG